AACCATTGCCTGTTTAACTACTTACCCTAAGCCTATCATGTCCAATTCCAGCCCCACCTTACCATGTGCCGATTCTGGAATGACTTGTCGCTCAGCAAATATCCTGGAAAACACCAGTATCCCTTGCATCCATGCCATCTTTGAATGCCTACTGTGTGCCATCAGTCTGGAGTTGTCTTGCACAGTTCCTATCATTTGCTCCTGACATGACAGAAATGGGCACCTTGCTTTGCAAACAGGGTCCTGGAGGTGCTGCTGGACAGGCTAATGCAGAGATCTGATTTCTTCTTCCCCCAGGTCCAGCTGTGGAAGCCAGGACACCAGATCATGCTGTCATAGTCCAAGGTTACTGCAGGGTCAGTGTAATCTTAGCCATCTGGTTTGATTTGATTTGATTTGATTTATTATTGTCACATGTACCTAGGTACAGTGAAAAGTTTTGTTTTGCGTGCAGTACAGACAGCTCAAACCATACAAAGTGTATTAGGGGAATAGAACAGAGAGAAGGATACAATATTACGACTGCAGAGAAGGTGCAGAAAGAGCGAGATCAATGTTAAATTTGAGACGCCCATTCAGAAGTCTAATAGCAGCAGGGAAGAAGATGTTCTTGAATCTGTTGGTATGTGTGTATAAGCTTTTGTATCTTCTGTCTGACGGAAGAGGTTGGAAGAAATTATAACCGGGGCGGGAGGGGTCTTTGATTATGTTGGCTGCCTTTCCAAGGCAGTGAGAAGTATAAATGGAGTCAATGGATGGAAGACTGGCTTGTGTGATAGACTGGGTTGTGTTCATAACTCTCTGTAGTTTCTTAAGGTCCTAGAGGAGTGCACGGAAATATAGGAAGAGGGTCAAAGTCCTTCTCCACTCAACTGGTGTAAGTGCTATCATCTGTCACACTCACTCAATCTCTTTTATTGTATTCACCTCACCAAAGCTCATGCTCGACTATTCTCCCTGCAGCATCTCATTCCAGGAGGAAAATGCCACACAACAAGGCAGAAAGAGTCACAACAGCTGATGGACAGTGCCACATTTGGTTTTGCATCTCTTAGGTGGATAGGATCCTGATGCTGATCACCCTGAGCAGACCTAAGGCTGGTATCAGAGGTTGCTCCTGACTTACTGTACCTGGACCCTCCTGAGCAAGGAGTAGATCCCTTGAGTTGACTGAAGCTTGCTAACAACCAGAATAAACTTCTTTTCTTTGTGTTCCAAACTAAATGGCATGTCAAGGCAGAAATAAGATGAGTCTGGTATTTCTGCTTGAGGGGACAAATCACAGAAAGGCAGATGATGCGGTGAATGTCCAGGCTCAGAAGGTGTGAGGGCTATAACAGTGAATGAAGGGCCTAGAGATGCAGCTTGGTGCAGTCCATAAGCTGGGTTCATGTCCCTGAGTCCACACCCTCCTTGCTGTAGCATTACAATGAGAGTTGCCAGAGATGCATCCCAAAATGCAGAAGTATCCTGTGTTTGAGAAATATCTCACAAGGGTTCTTAAAGGCTGGCATTGCCAATTTCTGTGGATATGGGGTACATGTTGCTGGTGCCCAGTGTCCTACATGGAACTCATTTAGAGCAGCAGCGAGCTGATTTTACCAAGTACCTGCTCTGTGGAATTTTCTCAATATTTAGTTTGTTTGACGGTTTTAGTATGCTAGGAAGCTGAGTATTAATGAGATGAGTTAATCCATCATCAAGATGTTTAACAAGCAGTTCAACAAGTTGAACCATCAACAAGATGTTTAATAATCCCAATCAATTGATAACTCACTGCTGCATAGCAGGAAAGTCACCAAAACTGCTCATCAAAAGAATAAAAGGGGGCATGAGATGCTCCCAAAGTTGAGATTGGTCTTATTAAAGTGCTCATCCTACTGTGCCACAAACCTCATCTCAGCCCATGTCTCTCAGACCCTTCTAAGATTCTGCCACTAAGTCATTATAGTAAATTAACACTAATCTCTCATTAAGGCCAATCTACTTTTTCCAAGGCGTCTGTTTTCAGAGCTCCTCCAGGTGTGGTGTAACCAGGGCTTTGTATAATTGAAGCTTGATATGTCTCCCTTGAATCCTAAAACTCTAGTTATAAAGGCAACAGTCTTTCTGCAGAGGAGATCGAGCTCTTGTAGGAAGTACTGTCTCAGCACAACTAAACACTTAAGAAAGACTGCTATGGTTGAATTTTTAGCTTTATTTCTTTATTTTTCAACTTAATCTAAGAAGGACTGTAATGTTTAACTTCTAACTTTATTTTTTTTTATGCTTTACTATGACTGACTGTAATGTTTAACTTCTAACTTTATTCCATATTTTTTTCTACCTTGTTTTTATGTTTTTAGACCAAGGTACTTGTACCTAAAATGGCACCATGCATGGTAACATTGAAAACTATTCACTGTCATCCTGTACTTTTGTATTTAATTACACATGACCATAAAGTCTAAATCTAAATGTATTTTCTACAACTGTTCTTGACAATTTAATGATCTATGGACCTGAACCCCCAGGTCTTTTGGACTGCCTGTGTTCATAGCTTTACATCACTTAGAAAGTACTTTATTCTTTAAATATCCTTAAATGGCCTCAAATTTTCCTATATAATCGATCTGCCTCGCTCAACTATCTCTCTGTAATGCTACCCTTCCATTGACACTGCTTTAGGTGCTACCTGTTGTTTCATTCAAAAATTTCGATATGTGGCTTTCTACCTTTTCATCTAAGTTGTTAAAAAATATGGAAAATAATTGAGGGCTCGATACAGATCCTTACATGATAGCAGCAGTCACATTTTGACTTTGGGGCGCTCAAAATAAAAACAAAATGCTGCAAATGCTAGAAATCGAAAATAAATCCGAAAGTGCTGGAGAAACTCAGTGAAAGAGAGTTAATGTTTCTGGTCAATGACAACCCTTCATCATATCAAAGGAACCTATCAGTCTTAAAAACCGATAAAACTGCGGTTGCTGTAAATCAGGAGCAAAGACAAAGTTGCTGGAAAAGCTCAGCAGATGTGGCAGCATCTGTGAAGAAAAATCAGAGTTAACATTTCGGGTCCGGTGACCCGAACTGGTGTTCTGAGGAAGGGTCACCAGACCCGAAATGTTAACTCCCATTTTTCTTAACAGATGCTGCCAGACCTGCTGACCTATCAGTCTTACCCAGTTTCGCCACATGTGGCTCCAAACCCATACCAATGTGGTGACTCTTTGCTGCTCCTGAAATGGTCTTGCAAGCCGCTGAGATATATCAAACTGCTGAGGGAAAAAGTTATAGTCCAACAGGTGTATTTGAAAGCACAAGCTTTGGCTACGCTTTGATTTCAAGTAAACCTGTTGGACTATAATCTGGCGTCGTGAGACTTCTGACTATGACTGGAGTGGTTTGAGAAGCCAGCTCACCATCGTCTCAAGTTCATATAGGGATGGACAGCAAATGCCAATGATGCCCATATCCCAAGAGCCAATAGAAAGCATGATGATTGGTGTGGGCACTTAGCTCTGAAACTCCCTCAGCAGAACTTCATCTTATTCTAATGTTAGACCACGGATGACCACATTTAATGGCTTTACAATTTGCAAATGATCATAAAAAACCTCATGGAAATTTAACCCCCTCTCCTGAAATTCTCCATAAAATTATTGAGTTCATGTTCAGTCAACTCTTCTAATTCTTCTATGCCTGGTGTCTTCTTTGCAAAATGCCTCGGGGAGATTTTGTTATGTTAAACATACTATACAAGTACAAACTGCTGTTGTAGCTTTACAGTTTGCACATTAGCAGCTGATCAAATAATACAAGGGAATAATGAACTAAATACATGCAATTTTGATTTAATATACCTTATGCCTTTAACTAAAACTTTTGTTACTGTTCAGGAGAATCAACATTATTAATAAGTGAATGCTCTACCATGACAGGAGTAAGACAGACTCAACTATTGAGTCAGGTTGTAAAGTGGACAGAGCAAGCTGCTATCTGCTGACAGAGGCAGACATTCAGAACTAAGTGAAATCTGAAAGTCAAACTGTTGGCAATACTGTAGCTGGGTCCATTTACAGGCTCTAAAGGTTTATATTTAGGTATAAGTGGACGGGATGTTGAAGATAATTCCGGGGTTCATACTAGAGAACTACAGTATCCTTCCAACCAATGCTGACTAACAAAATGCAACATGAAATAAATGCACGAGCAACCAAACACAGTTGAACATGAGAACAGAAGGTGATTGTGCCGTGTTTGTCTGTTTAAATGCATGTGTGTGCAAGATTTAGACATTTTCAAATTGTTAAATCTCCAGGTGCAAGGTTGTCTCCCTGGCTATTTGGAAAGAGGACAGTTGCCTAAAGGTTAAGGACAGAGATAGAGAACGGGGATAAGTAAAATCTGAAATGTCTTTAGGATGAAGAAGTGATTTTGCCACCCCTCCTTCAGCAGCAAAATTCCTTTCTCAGTACAACCTGTTAAAGTCATTAACTTATTGCAGCTGCTGATCTCATTTAGTTAGATATTAATAACAAAATTATATAATGCCCTCTTGTTCAGGGAGAGGTGAATGCACATATTTATAGGCTTTGAAAAGCCATGTCAATCAATAGAATAACTACCAATAAAAGCTCTGCACTGTCCATGTATGAAATCGAGACGAGGCGCTAGGCTTTGACAGGAAAGAAAACTATCTTGTCTTTCAGATGCTTAGACACAGTTTGACATTACTGATGTGGTAGTCTATTAACATATGATCAATACTGATCTTATTGTTTATGAGTGATATGAAGACTTGTTTTCTATTTGATCTAAAGAGCAAGAGTTGTTGGAGTTGTTGAAAGTGGATTGTAAATGCTGTGACTTGTGTATATATTTTATCCATTCTGATTGAAAATAGAGTTTGTAATTTTAAATTTATTGAAAATTTTGATGAAGCACTTTTGCTGCTTCATTAAGAGCTATCTTTAAGTGAAGGCACCAGCTGCGAAAAGGAATTTTGAAGAATATAAAAGAAGATGCAAGATTATGATGAAGCGACTGCTTTTCTGGGAGAATGGGGTCATCATCAAATAACTATTTTCTTTTTGCTCAGCATCGGTATAATACCAAATGGCTATGTGGGTCTGTCTATGGTGTTTCTGGCCGATACCCCTCAGCACCACTGCCGTCTGTCTAACTCTTCAAACATGACCTTTGAGGAAACCTCCTTCACAAATCTGAGCTTATTGCTGCCCATGGTTGATGAGCAAGTGTATAGTAAATGCACTAGATTCAAAACCCAGCTGCAAGATGGTCTCAACGATACAACACCTGAGACGGAAGGTTGTGTGGATGGCTGGGTGTATAGCAAGGACAGATACATCTCAACCATTGTCAGTGAGGTAAGACATATTCATTTGTCTTTGTACACAATTGTACGTAGGTATGGCTCTTACCTTTGAATATCATTAGATCCATTTTTGTCCTTTTACATTTATTGATGATAACAAAGTTGAAAAAGTTGCTTTTGAGACATTTATTCTTTTATACTGTTTATTTGTAGGTTTCAGTTATTATCTTTTATGGCGTGTCAGAAGAATACTGTTACATGGTATTTTACAGCAAGAAAAAAGACTATTTGGTCCAAATGCTGGTGTTTATATTCTATGTGAGCATCCTTCACACACACTACTTCATTTCACCTTATCAGCAGAGACTAGTATTCCTTTCTCTCTCATGCCATTTATCTGACTTATTAAATGAAATGAATAAAATTATCTTCTGAAATCTCTTACAGAGTTTATTCAGTAGGTACGTTGATCTGTTGGAATGTGTAGGTATACAAGGGATCTGGGGTGTCCTTCTATAATAGTCAATGTAAACAGACAGGCAAGCAATCAGGGAGGCAATGGTCTACTAATCTTCATTGCAAGAGGATTTGAGTTTAGAAGCAAGGATGTCTTACCATGGTTGTGCAGGGCCTTGATGAGATCACAACTGGAGTATTGTGTGCCTTTTTGATCTCTCTACCTAAGAAAGGTTATACTTGCCAAAAAGAGAGTGCAGAGGAGATTCTTCAGACTGATACCAAGGATGGCAGGACTGACTCATGAGGAGAGATTGGTTCGACTTAGCCTGTATTCACTAGAATTTAGAAGGGTGAGGGAAATCTGATTGAAACATCTAAATTCTAACAGGTCTGGACAGATGAGATGCAGTGAGATTATTTCTCCTGGTTGGGGAGTCTAGAACCAGGGGACACAATCTCAGGGTATGGGTAGACCATAGATACAGTAGATGAGGAAAGATTTCTTCAATTAAAGGGAAGTGATCTTGTGGAATTCTCTATCACAGAAGTCTGTGGAGGCCAAGGCACCGAATATATTCAAGAAAAAATAAATATAAATTATTAGGTTTTACAAGCATTGAGATGTATGGAGAAAAACAGGAATATGGTATTGAGATGGAGGCTTAGCTATGATCATATTGAATGGTGGAACAGGCTTCAAGGGCTGAATGGTCTACTCCTGCTGGTGGATTCTATGTATCTATCCCTTTCATTCTGCTTAGTTCGAATGTGTAGTCATCCTGCCAGTAGAAAACCTCTAAGCTAAAGGTGAAGCTGGAAACTGGGCTTGAAGTTAATGCTGGGTCTGAGGAGATCAGGAATCTTCAGATCACTGTCCACGTTGATATAATCATGGGCTAGAAGCCAAAACAGAATCGGAGATGGGTGGGTGGGCACCATTGGGGTTAGAAGTGGTTGACGATACTTGGGCTGTTGGGCACTTCATACCAGGCATGATGCAGCACAGCTCTTGGTAATATTATCATGGAACCTAGGGTCCACTCAAGCAACAACATTTTCAACTTGGGCAATTATCAAATTGGGCTTGGGGCTCCATCATATAGACCATAAGACCATGAGGCCCCTTGAGTCTGCTCCACCATTCAATAAGATCATGCTTGATTAAACATTCCTCACATCCAATTTCCTGCATTTTTCCTGTAACATTTGATTTCCTGACTGATCAGGAATCTATCTATCTCAGCCTTAAATACACACAAAGACTCTCCCCACAGATCTCTGTGACAAGGAGTTCCAAAGACTCACAACCCTCTGAGAGAGGAAGTTCCTTCTTATTTCAGTCTTAAATTGGTGCCCCTTTGTTCTGAGACTGCCCTCTGGTTCTAGACTCTCTCATAAGTGGAAACGTCCTCTCAGTATTTACCCTGTCAAACCCTTAAGAATCCTAGATATTTTAATGACATCACTTCTCATTCCTCTGAACTTCAGCAAGTAGATTCCCAACCTGGCATTGGTAGAAAATTGGACAGGAAGAAGACAGTAGACATAAATGGGTTATTTCAGGTTGGCAAGATACAATAGATGGTATGCCATGGGAATTGGTACTGGGATTACCACTGTATACACACTATACAAACAAACTAAAGGTATGGTGATCAAATTTGCCAATGACACAAAGATAAGTAGAAAGCTAAGTTTTGAGGAAGACCTTGGGTGGCAATAAAAGGATATAAATGGGTTAAGTGGGTGGATAAAGATCTAGTAAATGGATTATAATATAGAAAAATGTTGAATTGTTTCAGTGGAAAAAATAAACAAGAAACATATTATCTAAGTGGTGAGAGATTGCAGACCTCTAAGGCACAGAGGAATCTGGTACCCTTGTGCATGAATTGCTAAAGGTTAGTGAAATAACTCCACACAGGCTGGTATCCCATCACCAAGACACCCTTTATATACACGTGGGAAGTCCTTGACATTGACCCAGCTTCCTCAGAGCCAGCTCTCATAGTGTCATCTGACATTCCTCTTTATATCTGTCAGCCAGGGCTCCCTGATTGGATCAGATTAACAGCCCAAATCAGGGAACTCATATTCTATGGGTTCACCTGGCTGACCTCGTTCGAATCGTTACATTCCTCCCACTCTCTGAGTCTGAGGTCATAGGCCAGTCCTTTTCCTTGTAGTGCCTCCTGGGACATTTTAGCACTGGGTCAGGTTCCTCTGACTCTACATCGGATATGGATGGTGTGTAACACATGGGAGCTTGCCTCTTCTACCTGGAGTGACTTGGGAGAAATTCTCTCTCTACTTCCGGCAGCAAAGGCGTCCATGTGATGAGATCCACATGTCCATCTCAGGTTCAGAGGTCTCTTCAATGCTTGACAGAGAGGGTGAACCCACAGGTTCCAACTGCCTTTCTGACTGCTCCAAGGAGCTGTCACATCGTTTATGAGGTTGCAGCTTTCATGTGGTCCACATGCTTATTTAGAACTGTCGCTCCTACTCAAACTTTATACGTCACTGGTCATGACCTTGCATCAACCATGCCTCTTACCCATGCAGGGTCATTTCTGTGGTTCTTACATAAAACTTTGTCTCCTGAAGTAAACTGTCTGTCGTGCTTAGTGGAGTCTGGCATCTGAGATTGGCGTTCCTGATGCAGTTTCACCCTCCCCACCCCAGGTCTGGGAAGATCAGATTTAACCTGGTGAGGAGTCTTCTCCCATTAGCAGCTCTGCTGGAGCTATCCCTGTAGTTGCATGTGAGGTGGTCCTATAATCAAATAGGAACCGGGACAGTTTGGTATCCAGTGAAGCTGTAAGCTGTTTCTTCAAGCCTGCCTTCAAAGTTTGGGCTGCTCTTTCTGCCAGACCATTGGATGATGGATGGTGTGGAGCTGTTGTTATATGTCAAATCCCATTCGACTTCAGAAATACCCAGATTTCCTGTTAGTAAACAATGACCTATTATCCGTGACCAATGCTTCCGGGAGTCTGTGTATTTGAAAAGATGCACGCAGTTTACCTATCATCATTTCCATGTTTGACGAATGAATTCTATGCATGTCCAGCCCCTTTGAGTGAGTGTCCACAATGACTAAGACGGTAGAGTCCATGAAGGGGCCTGCACAGTCCACGTTTAATTGAGTCCAGGGTTTACCCAGCTGTTGTCACAGAAGTAGGGGAGCTGCTGGCGGTAATTTTTGTCCTTGTTGGCACTCTGGGCATTGGTTCACCAACGTGGCTATGTCTGCATCCAATCCTGGCCACCAGACACATAACTTCTCACCAACATCTTCACCCTGGAAACACCTGGATGACCCTGGTAGAGTTCAGCAAGTCATAGAATCATAGAATCCCTACAGTGTGGGAACAGGCCATTCGGCCCAACAAGTCCACACTGCCCCTCCGAAGAGCATCCCACCCAGACCCATTCCTCTATCACTGCATTTCCCATGTCTAACCCACCTAACCTAAACATCCCTGGACACTACGGGCAATTTAGCATAGCCAACCCACCTAACCTGCACATCTTTAGACTGTGGGAGGAAACCAGAGCACCCGGAGGAAACCCATGCAGACACGGGGAGAATGCGCAAACTCCACACAGACAGTTGCCCAAGGGGAAGTCAAACCCAGGTCCCTGGCACTGTGAGGCAGCAGTGCTAACCACTGAGCCACCGTGCCAACCAAGTATTGGGTAGTGTCTTTTGCTCGGGACAATCCGGGTCCGAAAAGTTTGCAGTTCTGGTTGTGATGGCCCTTTGGTTTCCCCCATCACCACCAGCTGTTTCAATTTGCCAGGAACTGGACCTTTCTGTGTCCAAAGTCTGATATTATCAGCTGTGACTAGAAGTGTGTCCAGAAAATTTAAAACCATTATAGGATTTTCCATTGGTGATACCACCGATGGTTTATCTGCCAGCAGGAGGAGATTCAATGCATCCGCATTTGCTACTTGGCCTCTATGCTCGGGATTGGGTATTCATCCAGCTGAGAAAAGTGGTTTGTTTAAAATCTTCACAAAGGTGAACTTACCCATTGGGCTTCAAAATTGGTATGACTGGTGCTGCCCATTCCGCAAACTGGACTGGTTTAATGATTCCTTCCCTTTCCAGCCTTCTGATTTCTGGCTCTACTTTTGACCTGGACAGGCCTTGCAGAATCATGGAATGGTTTCCTGGTCAATATGCAAGGTGGCCTTGGCTTCTTTGATAGTCCCTAGACCTTTCTGAAAAATGTCCAGGTATTTAATTAGGATTTCCCTCAGGCAGCTATTTTCTAATCAAAAATTGTTGAGCCATTCTACGTGAATCTCTCTCAACCAATTTTGCTCCATCAAGCTTGGGTCCTACCCTTTTACTACAATCACTGGTAACTGAATCAGCTGCTTCTCATAAGAGAACAGAACCACAGCTCTACCCTTATTCTATAAAGGATCCCCAGTATAGGTTCTCTGTCTAGCAGAGATCTTATGCAAACTTAAGGGTTGGAATCCAGAACAAATTTTGTTAAAGACTGGTTTGCAATCACTACAACATCTGCACTGATATTGGCCTTCATTAAAACTAGATGACCATTTGACATTTAT